GGATGGGTAGTGTGTGGGACCAGCCTCAGAGAGCCTCCCACCCCTGATTAGCTTTCAGAAGGAGAACAAGGCCCTGGGGGACAAAAGGAGCTGAAGGGGCGCTGAGTGCTATGATGCAGCACACGTAAGGGAAATGAAAGAAGACCAGCCAAATGCTCCCCAGGAGAGGGGAGCCAAATGAGTCTCCCTCCACCTGGGTCTGAGCAGGGCTTCACTCAGCAAAAGCGGACACTGGGACCAGGGAGCTGCTGGTCATCCCTCACCCTCGCCTGTGACATAAACAGTACAGCATTCGCGTGCTGCGGGGCCTTGTTGGCTGAGACAGCTCCCACAGAGACTCCGGAAGCTGTGGTCCACAGTTGAAGAGGTTGAGGAGCTTCGTACACTTTTGTTCTTTGATGCTCTTATCCCAGTGAAGCCACTGGAAACTTCTGAAGTTCATGAGCCATTTGCTGCAGGCGTCGTTCAATTAAGGACAGAGCCTCTTCCCCGGTAGCAAATACCCAGCAACTTAATTAAAAGGGGCTCGCTGTTTAAATTGCCACAGTGGTTCTCAATAGAAGGAGTTGGCCTCTCATGGGTGTAACTGCTTCTAATTTCCTTCCACTCCAACGCCAGTATTTAGAGAATATTTCACTGTCACCGAACATTATCCCATGGTCAGCCGCTCAGTTCCCCTGCTCAGACCCATTGACCGCTGAAGTGCAAGGAAAGCATCACTGCCCCACCCCCACCTCCAGTGCTTACAGCCACCGCAGCTAAAGACACTGAAGGCCCCACAGGAGGACACACAGAACGGCTTAGAGGTGATCCTTGAAGACACATGAGTGGATGCAATGTAAAAATGACGAGGCAAGGACTCCAGTAACATCTAAGTGGAGAGATACCTTCAATGATAAGGGGACTTCCAGGCCTGGCTGCCCTCCTAGGTGGCTCACCTTCTGAGAGATCTGAATCTCACAGCTGCGGAAAGTGTCTAATAGCTCCAGGCACTCTGGACCAACCATGAAACACACACCACCATGCAAGTCCAAGAGTCTGCGGTAAGCACTAATCATAGCCAAACGCCTATCTTCCAAGCATTTATGAAGAGGGCCTGTCTACCAGCCAGAATCTATTGGCTTGAGCCCCTCGTGGATTCCCTTGAGTGTGAGGTGAAAGCTCATGCAAGGACTTTCTGTTTCTCCCTGAGACTCTGATTTCTGATTCGGAGCAGACCGGTAATTGGGCTGTGAGAGATAGACCAAGCCACCCTGCAGGGAGCCTCCTCCTTCAACCTCAGGCCAACTGCCGAGCCACATGACCTATCTCTCCGCTGCCAGCACACACGTAAGGCTGCAGCTTGTCACCCCTGTGCCTATGCACCAGGTGATTTTCCATCCCAAGCAGTTCCACCAGAGCATCTACACCTCTCCAGAGAGCATCAAGGTCAGAGGCAAGGCCTCGGGATTTCATTAACGGGATCCTCAATGCTGGTGGCAGCCAATCAGTACAAGGATCTGAGATGACACCACTGTTGTCATCGACATCATCACTGCTCTCACCATTGCCAGCAGCACCGATACCACCACCATCACCACCATTCATAACATTTGTACAAGCACAATCATTACTATTCCACCACCACCATCTCCACCAACCTTATAACTACTATTGTCTTTACCATTGCCATAATTGTTACCACCAACTTCATCACCATCGATCATCCCCACCATCATTTCCATCAATGCCATCAGCAGTTCCATCACTGGCCTCAACTTTATCATCACCACTATGACCATCACCATGACTACCACCATTATAATCCTGTCATCACCATCACCAACATCATCACCTTCACCTGCATCATCACCCTCACCAGCATCATCACCACCACCAACATCATCACTATCATCACCCTCACCAACATCATCACCATCACCAACATCATCACCACCACCCTCACCAACATCATCACCCTCACCACAACCATTACTATCACCACTATCACCACCACCATCAGCAGCACTTAGCCTATTATCATCCCATCATTACCAACATCACCACCTTCTTCAATGTCATCACCATCAATATGACCACTACCACCATTAACATGATCACTCTGTTCATGAGAATGACCATCCCCAGAGTCGCCAGTGTCAACATCTTCACCACCTCCCCATCACTATTCATACCAACACTATCATCTCACCAGCCTGTCATCCTCATCATCACCTTCACCACTACCACCACTGATACTACCATTGTCACCATTATTGTCATCTCCATCTTCAACATTATTGCCATCATCATCTTCATACTTATCTTAACATTGCCAAACACACACTGGACAGTTAGGAGGTGTCAGAGCCTATGCTCATGAAGGGAACTGTGTACTTTAACTGTACAACAAAGATCAGCATCAGACAGCTGTTGAATCCCCATGGAGGCATGGAGAGGATAAACTGTTGCCCAAGCAAGATCACTACTCTAAAATTCAGGAACACCGACCAGTCTTTTCACTCGTCATCTGAATCCTGAAAGAGGAGCGCTCTGGAAATTCCAGAAGCTATTCTTTGCAACCCTAGGCCCCGAGTAATTCCAGAGTCCCCACATTGCCAATAGGAAAGCCTGGACCTCAGGAAAATGTAACGTATCATTCCTAAATTGTTGTATGCAGAAGCAACAAAACCAAAATCCTAAGATGCCTCTGTGTAGAACAGAACTGACTTCATGGAGGCCCAGTTCTAGGTTTCAGGGTGCCACCAGCTGGAGCTCTCCAGTCCCTGCTGAGCTTTCCTGCCTCTGACATGGTCAAGCACATCCTCTAGATACTCCAGCTGGGTATAAAAACAGCAGGTAGGTATGGTCTCTCTGCAGAATCTAGACCCTGATCATGGAACCAGCACAGCAGGTGTACAGGATGAATTTTCAGCTTTGAGAGCTCAGGAGAAGAAGATGGCACTGTGAGAGGAGACCTTGACATGGCAACAGAAAACAGAGGGCAGAATCGCAGGCATACAGGCAGCCCTCGCCAGCTGCTCCTTGCTGCAGCCATGCAGGACTACACACGTCTCAGCTAGGAGATTCTCTACACCACCCCTACTCCCTCAGATTCCATATGATGTTGTAAACAAGCATCTGGAGACTATATGGCTCCCCTCAGTCATCCAAGATATCCCATCTTCAGAACCAATGGGCAGCTCTCCCCAGGACCTAACATGAACTGCTTCTGGGGAGAACTGGACTCTAGGGAGTCTGGCTACAGGCGTCCTTGCAAACCTTCTCTTCTCTCATTGAGCCACCGCTGTCCATCCCCCAAGCAGGCCAGCTCAGAGGCCCCCCTCTCCTGCAGGCTGGCATCATTGCCAGAATTTACATTTCTCTGCATTCGAAGCAAACACACATATTTTCCCTCTTCTAAATCTGTTTTGCTAAACAAATTAATCTAGCAGCAGATTATATTATGAAGAACCATAAATCTTTTTGGAGATAAGCATCTGTCGGGTTGGATTAGCAACAGCCGATGTACCGTGAGTTAATTTGCTAAGCCTCACAGTGCTGTCCCAGGCGTTTAACGTTCGTAATAGCAGATGTAATTTGGGACAAATGGGAACTTGTTCCCTCATCCGTGTCTATACAGTGAGTGACGTATTCAGGGGAGGTGACAGCCAGCGAGAGGAGCGCCAAATTCCATTACGATTACGGCTGATGAGTCGGTAGAAGTTAAGACAGATGCAATGGGAATTGCTTGCAAGACGTCTGGCCCTGAGATGAACAGCCACTGGCAACCTCCTTCATGCCCCTGTCTCCGCTCCAACACTGTGGATTCCCCAGGGAGGCTATGGGCCAGACACCTAGACAACCCTAGATCTTCTTCCCAGGAGCTGCCAGGCTTAGAGTTGTCCCTGTCCTAGTGGTTTAAGACTAGTTTTGTTTTCAGGGTGAACTTCCCAGAGGACCAAGGTGCTGCAGGATAAAACCAATGGGTTTTGCTGTTCAGCGCAGGAAGGAAGGAGGTTAGCGGTTGAAGGAGAAAGGCTTTTTACCCCATGAAAACCTGCCCAACGGCTAGCCCATGTCTGCCTACCCAAAGTAGAAGGAGGCACAGGTGCAAAGAAAAAAACAGGTGCAGAGATGCTGTACTAACTGCCCAAGAGTGAACCTCAGGAGCTGCCCCTCCTCCTTCCCACCAGCCTGAGGCTTGAGTCTCACCCCCAGCCATTCTTGCTGCTGTCGGGAGCTTCTCCCTATGTGGGAGGATCAGCAAGGACTGCTGTTTGTGGGGGCGATGCCCACATGCCCGAACTTTCATGTTACCGTGGGCCATGCTGGGGATTGTGGGAGGGGACTAGCTGCCAGCTCTTTCTCCCATGGCTGCTGGCATCGGGACAAACCCTGGCCTGGGGCATGACCAGGGCTACCCCTGTTGCAGATACTAGAGGATGAGGCAGGGAAGAAGATGAGCAGAGCTGCACAGAAGGAGATGTCTCCAGTCAAGGAGCTACAACTGTCCACATGGCCCGAGAAAAGGACTGCAGGGTCAGGGAGCCAAAGCCTTGCATCTCTGCTCCATCCCAGAGGCCTTCCCCCAACTCCTCCCTGAGGGAAGAGATGAACCCATCTGCAGAGCTTCAATCAGCAACACAGGGAGTTCTTCTCCTCATCTGCCCTTCGTCTTTCCTGGTAATTCAAGGTCATTCCTAACCTTGGGACAATTTCCATCTAGCAGTGAACCAGCCCCAAGCAGCCAATACCCTGAAGGCTCTGAAGATCACAAGGTCCCTTAACATTGGCACGTGATGTGCCCGGGAGACTGTAGCCTGAATATAACCATATAGGTAGGCACTGAAGTTACTGTGTTCCACATGGCAGCCAATCTCTCCTCAGAGCCCACACTCAGCTCTTCTCTCTCTGCCATTGTTTATACTCCTGGGGACATCTGAACAGCCTCCTGTCCCAAACCACCCTGCATCCTGCCTCTCCCCAAGCCAGAGCAGCAAAACAAAGAGGCCACCTACCTGAGGTCTCCCCCAAGATCCTTGGGGGCTGGATATCTTTCCCATTGTTGCTGGGACTGGTGGAAGGCTCTGTTGTGCTAACCCCAACAGGGGTCCTTTTCCAGGGATCTAGGGACTCAGTGACCCCCTTAGTCTGCAGTGTCATGGTGGTGGCCGTGCTGGCCGTGGTGGTGGTGGTGGTAGCCACAGTTGTCTTCCGTGTTTGCAAGATGGAGACCGTGGTGGGGCCGAACCCACCAGGGAAAGTGTTGGATTCTAGGGCTTCCTCATCCCCCGTAGGCCCCCAGGCTATGAATTCTGTCTCTGTCGTGGGCCTGCCACCACGAAAGTCGAAATCATTGAACTCTGCATCATGCGTGTGTCTCCTGCCCCGCCTGAGGAGGCTCTGTTGCTCTGCAGTGCCAGCGGCCACCATGGAGGATGAGGCCGATGCAGAAGGGAGGGAAGGGCTGGATCCGGTGGCAGCTGGGGGCTTGGTGAGTCCCCCTTTGGGTCCGAGGGTGGCCACCTGGTCCCTGGGCCTGTGGGCCCTCCGAGCACGGGGAGTCTGCATCTGTATGGGCCCGTGCGCACGTTCGGCCCGGGCAGAGCGGGGACTCCAGGCTGGTGTTGGTAGCCTTGTTGGGGGTCCGCTTCGCAGACTCCACAGCCGCTGTGGCCTCTGTGGGCGTGAGAGAAGCCGAAACTCAGGCCCTGGGCCTAACGAATCACAGGACGGGAAGTCGACTACAAGCTGCAGCATGGCTATCAGTATCCAGGCATGGCTTCCGAGAGAGCGGCCGGGCCATCGGATGGACATGGAGCTGAGGAGAGAGAGCAGAGTAGTCAGCGGACAGTGGGGCAGCAAGATGGCTCTGCCCAGGGCCATCTCTAACCCCACCGGATGGGGGTAACTTTTGGTTGTAAAAAGAGCTCATCTGAATCTGGAAAAGACCCCAGAAGCCTCTGGGCTGGCTCAGGCGCATGCACTGTGTTCCTCTACAGTGGTCACTATGTGTTGGAGACAGCTGCTTCCAGCTCAGGGACCTCTTGGATGGTAACCTAAGAGCCCCCTTCTATGGCATGGGACACGGCCACCAAAGCCCCCTCCTCCATCTTGCCCCTGAAGACTTGCCCACAGTGGAGGTGAGGCTCCAAGAACACAAAAGGTACAGAAAGTGATGAGAACATCTGTTCCCAGTGGCCAGCTGACTAGGCCTCAGGCTCTGGGAGGCTGCAGGAGGCAGAGGGGAGGGGTCTCCCCCTAGAGTGCAGGGTTTGCTCCACCCTTCCCAAACCCCATGACCCTTTAGTCCTCTGAGCTGAGCTTACGCCTGCTTGCCCTCCACCTGGACACAGCCCAGCAACGCTCCTTCTGTCTGGCTTTCCCTGGGTGTCGCTCTGGGAACTCGCTGCAGCTCGGGAAAAGCTGGAAGCTTCAGTTCTAGGTGCCTACTCTGTTGACATTTCCACCCCTCCTGTTTATCTCTGATGCAGATGCCCTTTGGAAATTCTCATCTTCAGCTGGGGCTGGACTGAGAAAGACCAGACTGAGCACAGCCAATCAGGAGTGGAGTCTGATGGGAGCAGGTGGGAAACATGATATCCGCTTGTCTGGGTCCTGTTGGGACCATCCCTGTCCTGAGTCCATGGGCAGCTCCACTAGCTGAGCCCAAGTCCCCTCTAGACCCAGGGATGCTGTAACGGCACACGGAAATCCAGAACAGAACGCAGACCCACACAGCCGGGAGTGGAGGATGTAGCCCACGCGCTCCTCCTTCCCCCAGCGTAGGTAATTGAGGACTGATTATAGGTGCCACTCAAAGTCAGTTCTCATCATCAACTAACTTCACATCTGAAAGTTAGAAGGAATCTAAAACTTCCCCAGAGGCTGCTGCAGGGAGAGATGGTGCGGGGTGTTAGGTACCCTGAACCACCAGCCTCCACAGCTGTGCCTGCCAGGCCCCGAAACGCACGTGGGGTTGTTTATCTTTATACGGCGTCACGTGTGTGCGTTTTAAAAAGTGACTGCATGTGTCAGGGTGTGCCACTGTACGGGCGTGTGAAGCCCACGTGGATGCGTGTGCCGGCAGGGGGTGGAGCACATCCAGGTGGGTGTGCGTGAGTGCCGGATGTGACTGCTCGTGCGTGAGAGTCTGAGGGAGTCAATTTGTGAGCTTGTTTGCCGGCGTGAGACTGAGCATGTGTGGGCGTACTGCTGTATCTGCGAGTGTTCCCCTGGGTGTGAGAGTCAGTGTGCAAGAAGGTACCACTATGTCCATCTGTGTAATTATTTGTGTGGGTATCCATGTGTCTTGGTGACTGTGTCTTTCTCTGTATCTCTCTCTGGGTCTATACATCTCTGTCCCCAAGTGTGGGTCTGTGTCAGTGTGAGCGTGCAAGCTTGCCCTTCAGTGGATGGAACTGTGTTTATTCAAGGACGTGCACGATGTTTCTCAGCCTGTACTGAACCCCACGTGCCTGAAGCTGAGACCACTGATGGTTGGGAAGGAGTTGGCCCTTGAGAAAGAAGCTTGAGTTCACTGGGACTAATTAGCAAAAAGCACCGGTCTCCAAATAATAAGGCCCGGCTTTTTTAATCAGAATGAAAGCACTTCGCCGTCTGAAGGAGGAAGAGCTCATTAGGCTGATGCCTCTGGGCTCTTTCTACCTCTGTGATGTTACTCTGCACGAGCAGCCAAGCTCCAGCAGGGACAGGGTTGTCATCACTGTGAGCAGAAATCTAGGTCAGTGTGAGACTCCCCTGCATACTTGGAAGGGCCTCTTGGAGCTGCAGGTGACCCTGTAGGGACAGAATGGTGAGAACCCTGGGTCTTTCTGCCTGCATATCTGGAGAGGTGTCTGCTTCCCTGTGAGTGAGATGCCACTAGGCCAGCTTGTCGTGGCACCATCAACCAAACCCTACATGACTCTACAAGTCTCTAACAAACCTTACCAGGCCCCTCAGGGCCCCCTACCCCCCACTGGGTCCCACCAATTCCCTCCAGATTTCACTAGGACCCCAGGTGCCTCCAGGACTCATTAGACCATACCCAAATTCCATTGGAATATTCTATTACTCTCCAGGTCTCAACAGATCCCACCCAGACTTACCATATCCCTCTAGGCTCCATTTGGCCCTACTAGACTCCGTCAGACCCCAGCAAGTCCCACCGGGTCCCAAAAGGCCTCACCAGATCCTTCTAAGCCTCTCCTGGCCCAGTTAGCACCCTTGCCCTCATCCCAGCTGCCCTAGAGAACCATCCAGACCCCCCAGCAGTTCAAGCCCTATCCTAGATCCTTCTAGTACTCCTAGGCCTGTGCTGGGCTCTCCAGGCTTCATCACACCGCACCGGAACTCAGTAGTTCCCTCCAAATTCTGCCAGAAGCCAGCAGGCCCCATCAAGTCCCCCTAGATGTCTCCTAGCCCCACGGGGCAGGCCGACTGGGAAGCGGGAAAACAGAGCTGCCTGCCGTCAGTACTCTGAGAAATATTGCCCCAGGAAATTAAAACCACAGCACCTAAGCCTAGGCCTGCCTCCCCGGCATAACTTCACACACAGGATATTTCTGTGATTTTTCACCAATCATGGGCTGTAATTGGTAACCATAGAAACCTTCTCATTTCCAAGACACCCAGCTGTTATGCAGAAAACCCAACCCTGGCAATGGGGTTGGGGAGGCGGCGGATGCCCTGCTCCTCCTCAGCCCAGCAGATTGCTTTTAAAGGGCTGCATTTGCTCAGAGGGGAAATAGAGGGCAGTGCGGGGGAAGCAGCTGTCAGCTGGGACAAGGGCCTGCCCCACTGGACAGTAGAGTGCTGGGCCCTGCATGAGACCTGACCTCATGGCAGTAGGTCTGGTCTGCAGGGGACACCCCTGGACTGGTCTTCAAGAACCCCTATAACTCTACAAGGGCCTTCTCTCCTTATTCCTCCTGCAGAACCACGGGTGTTCAGTACAGAGTTAGGGGTTTTCAGACATGCTCTGATACAAAATGAAGCCGTTAGCAGAGGGCTCCACCTCAGGAAGGCACCGAGGCATTGTCAGCTGTCTGACATCCTCCCAGATGACAGGAGGATTCGCAACATGCTGGCCTACCCTACCATCAAGTACCAGTGCCAATGGGCCACATGTTCACCCAGGAGGCCACGTAGAGTTTCCCCAAACTCCGGAACATTTCAACTGGCCCTTCAAATGTGTCACCCGCTTCATTCCTCAAGGTCACCAATAGCAATAAAGATGGAACACACCAAGAGCTGTGGTCGCTGCTGCTGCTGTTGCTGGGAGACTAGGACACACACACACACAAACACACACACACACACACACACACACACACACACACACACACACACACGATGGGTGTGTGAACTGGCCTGTCTGCTGTAGAAAACAATTTGGTGACCCTTGGAAAATCAGAGCTACCACTAATGTGGCAAATACAGTCTTTAAGGTACATACCTGGACACTCATGTGTATCATGTGACGCCTCACAGTAGCCCAATGCAAACACCCCAAGCATCACCCAACAGATAAGCACATGGGACACATCCAGACACAGAGTAGCATTTGATCCCCGAAAGGCAGGAGGTACCATCCACACACAAAGGCAAAGGAGCCAGGAGTAGGGCCACACATAGATGGAAGACTCGGCACGATCTCTGGGTCTGCCACAGATGGAAGATGCCCACCTTCCAGTGGCTACCACAGAGTACAGGGGAGGGACTCTTTGGGAGGGACTGCCTACTGGAGGGGTTCTTTTGGGGGTGACGGAATGTCCTGGAATTCATTGCAGTGGCAGTGAGACACCGTATGAAAACAAAACCGTTGGACCATGCACTCAAAGGCAGGGAACGTAATGGCATGTAGATTACATCTCAATAACAATAAAAAAGGACAGGACTCGGAAGCGAGTGTGTGTAAGTGTTCTGGGGACTGATGTGGACACTCTCTGTGACCTCCTAATCCTGAGCCCTGTCTGCAAACCGGAAGGCCTGAGCCAGCCTTCTGAGTCACAGGCAAGGTGTGTGGATGCTGTGAGACTCAGTCTGTGTGGAGCGGGCTCTATGGGAGTCCCTAGGACTTAGGGTCCCTCCTGGCCTCATGACATTCACCTCTTGCTCATCTCCAAGGACACCGTGCAAAGGAAAAGCAGAGCCCGCGAGCTTTGCACACCGTTGCCTCCATCTGCCTTTATTTTCTAGTTTGCAGCTCCTTGCTTCTCTTCCTTTTAAATTTTTATTGAAATCACTTTTCCCCAAGAATGGTTTAATAAGATTCAGTGGATTGAGGTTCAATTCACTCCCTTCTATATAGTTTCTCCACTGAAGAAAATCACTGTCATTTAAGAGAGACATAGACGTCTCTTCACCCACAGTCATACCCTCCCGGGAACCCAGATGTGGCAGCGTGTGCTCCCGGAAAGAGCAGTTTCCTCTCGATGGGGCTCACAGTCAAGGGGAGTGGGAAGAGTGAATTCCTGGTGTCGTGTGGCCAAAGCCACCTCGAACACTGCAGGTAGAAGTCAGAACTGCCTAGAGGTGGCGGGTCCAGGCTACTTTTGTCTCAGAGCCCACTGCAGGAGCCTGCCTGCACCAGCTGTGTTACCCCAGATCTTTACCCTAAAGTTGCTGTAGAAGTTAGCCAGAGCCCAGGCTTGTGGATCCTTTTCTGGGAGGCCCTGTTTCCTCACCACAAACACAAGGTAGGTAGTGTGGAGTCTGAGGTCCTCCCTCCCTTCAAACCAGACCCAGCCTTTCACTATCAGCAACTTCTCAGCCAGGCCAGGAATGATCAACTCAAGGAGCTGGAGTTACAAAGAC